TGAAGATAACTAATTCCAATATTTAGATATTTTTATCCGTTTTTTACTATTATTGTCATCCTCTTTTCTGAGTTTCCTCATTTCTATTATCTTTAATTACCGCAAAAGTTTTTTTATTTAGTTATACTTTGATATGTTCTGTGATTCGTAAAAAAAAATAGAAACATTAGAACATAATAATATATCATTAACAAATCATCAAAACTGAAACATATGAAAGCAACAATATTATATAACAAAACAAAGAAAGGAAAACAACTGATATTAAACCTAAAAAACAGATTGACTAAGAAAATTATAGGAAAGCTATCGATATATATATAACTTTTTATACATCTAGAGTTTTGCAAATAAGAAATTATTTATGGACCKATTGAAATATCAATCTCAAAGTCAAACCTATTAATTATCATTCAACGAATTAATATTATTTTAACTATAAAATGTCGATGGCAAAGAGTGTAAATATATCGATTTCATTAAGGGTATTTTCGTAAACCGTTCTACTTTTTATTGCTTGGAGTGATTTGATATTTCTTATATTTAGAAGTTGCTATGTTTCAGCATTTATATCTTGTTTTAGCCTATCATTTTTTTCCAGTACATCATTATAATCAAGCTACATAGTTTACTACTTTACTGTTTGGGAAAAGATCTAAGAAAACTACAATGATGTTATTATTGAATTTTGATTTACTCACATCTTTGTCCGAACATAATTGAAAATTCTCAAATAAAAACGTTTTGATCCCTCTACCATTTTATTTTTTACTATTTTCTCATAAAAAAAGAGGCAACGGAAGCCCGCGCCCTGCCATTGAACGAAGGATATCTACCAATGAAATTAGATCTTCTTTAATTCTGCGTTAATTTCATTGGTAGATCTCTAAGATCTAACTCAATTGCCACATATGTAAATAGGATCTTGAGCATGAACATATTTTTTTGAGAATTAAAATTATATAAAACTCGTGTGGTTTAAGTTATATTCGCATATTAATGATTTGATGAGAATAACGTTTGTGGCAATGCTTTGGTTACTATAGGAGGCAACGCATAATTCATTGTTACCATTACAATTTTGGTTGGACAACAATTATCTYTTTAAATGGGTTTCTCTGCAACGTATGTAAGAAAATAGACTCATTAATATTTGTGKTTTTCATAAGTTCAAAATCGCAACAGAAAAGATGTTAGCCTTAATTTTTGTTTTCTCATTTTTTGTACTGATGAATCCATGATGCTAGAGATGTGAATGCGATTTTCTTTGAATCTTTGGTTAATTTCTTGATTTCGTCTGTGTTAGAATTTAAGTAAAAAAACTGTTAATTTCGTTTTGCACATCCATTTTGTGAATTTCTTAGATGGCATTATTGAKTTTCGGACTATTGATTTGATATCCTCTTGCATTGCATGGTAAACTCAACTGAATAATATATATGGTACTTTTCGTATCTTTTAGAATTTGTAGGTTAAATTGTTTCTAGGTTTTGAATTTTTATTTGATTGTTAACAAAAATAAAAGAATTCTTATTTGGGATGTCTTGAATTATTAAGAGACTCACTTATATTGTAACATCTTCTAAAGGTCGTGGAAGACTAATGATTTTCTTTGTATTACTTTACATGAAAAAATTGTGTTGCACACGATTTTAATTAATTACCATGAGACCCAAATAAATTTTATGATTAATGATATCATTATTTTAATTACACCCTATATATTACGATGTAGATATATTTGATCTACATCAGATATAACGATAAAGAAATTTRGGTAYTATATACAATACCCCCTCACACTACMATAATTGAAGTAATTTAWGGTTATTGTTCTAAAAGTTTACATATGYAATTTCACTTCACGTTGAAGGTGAGAAGTTCGTACCGTTATRTACGGTAAATTACTTCACTTGGCCTAATCCAAGTTTTGAAGCCTAACATGGTCACACCTGGATCAGACAGTCCCAAGGTTTCACCCGAAGTCATCGTTGAGCACACGGTCTGTGCCCTTCAGAGAACCGTCCCAATAGATGTTCCAGCTATCGTGTTCTTGTCGGGAGGACAGAGCGAGGAAGAAGCGACGAAGAACTTGAACGCGATGAACCAATTGAAGACGAAGAAGTCATGGTCATTGTCTTTCTCGAGGTGCGTTGCACCAGAGCAAATTGAAGACATGGTCAGGCAAAGAGGAGAATGCGAAGGCGGCTCAAGAGGCGTTGTACGTGAGGTGCAAAGCTAACTCAGAAGCCACTCTTGGAACCTACAAAGGTGATGCTAAGCTTCGTGATGGAGCAGCAGAGAGCCTTCATGTGTATAGAGATTTGGAAGGAAATTAAGCGACGCCATGGATCATGTACAGTCAATAGAGAAAATTATTAGATATTAAACTGCTTTTTACTACACAAGAGTTATAAATTAGTTGTTCTGGCATCTTTTGTTCTTTAAAAAAAAAGATTATTCATGCTTAAAATATATTGAAAAGCTATATAATGTGTGATAAGTGTGGAGAGCAAGAATTAGCATCAAACATAAAGAGAAACACATAAGAAACCAAAGGCTTCGTCAGCAACAATTTTATTTTTCTTACAATCCTCACTATCTATTGTATCTCTAACAACTTTAAATTTATTATACTCTTCTCTTTATCCCCACCGGTCAAAACAACCCTCTTCCGATCTACAAATTTTATGAAGATCAAGAGAGAGTGAAAATATTGGGTTTTCTTTGTTCAATTTCTACTCTTATTTTTTGTTCTTCTTCATTTAGGAATATTTTTAATTCTACACATGTTCATTGTCACACAATATTCTCACTTTCATGAACAAAAATTATTAAAATATTTATACATATAACCAAAAAAAAATCAGAATGTGATGATAATATGTTGTGCACTTAACGCCACTTTTTACTTAACTCTAATGATATTTGCAACAAACGAATCAAGCTTGCAGTAGCAATGTTGAGTTGTCTCATCCTACAAAATCAAAGTAACATTATATCATTCACAACTCATCCAATATATCAAGAAACAAAAAGAAATTACTTGAGACGCAATATACCAATATTAATTGGTGAAAAACTCATGAGAGTTCTTCTCAATCTTCTTTATCATTCCCATGATGCAAAAAGACAACCAATAATAGACTTGATGCAAGAAAACGTAGGAAGAAATCATCACGATGAACACTTGATGCTCAATATCAAAGAGGAGCTTCGAATAATATTTAATTAAATAGAAATTGATTTGTTAGGGCTTCACGATGCAAAACAAAGATCTGGAAAAGAGAATAATGAGGACACATGCATAAAAAACTGAGTGGAAGAGATATGTGGTGGAAGTAGTGATTGAATTAACAGAGTGAAAGAAATTTGTCGCAATTGTTGTGTTCTTCTTCACCTTATCTTCATATCGAGAAATTGTTGATCGTTTAAATTAGATACAAATTCCAAACGATTGTTGTACAAAAGAAATTATATGTATATCAAAAAAACACAATCATTAAATTAGATCTACAAACTATAGCAATGTTAATTAAAAATAAATCTACCAAATTAAAAGAAAAATAAACATACCAAAATAAAAAGAAACAATTGGAACATGCACCTGAAGTTACTTCGTCAATCGTTATATGAATTTACGTAACCTATAAAACATCAAAAAGAGAATCAGATGACCAATAACCGAGAAATACAAAATATCAATCAAAGGAAAAGAGCATATCATAAGCGTACGATAGAAAAAACAAAAAAAGCTAATGATTTGTTTAGGTTATACGAAATCATGAGGAATGTATATATAAGCAAAAAAGAGATCTTATCATCATGTTAGGACATAAACTGAGAAACAAAAATGATGGTGA